TATATATATGTGTACGTATATATATATATATAAAGATATAATAAACCTAACCGACTAGAATTGTAGAGAAAGATATTATTTAAAATAAGTATGAAATAACTAATAACGTATTGTTAAATTTCAATTATTATACTGAAATGTCTAAAATCGTTTGATAATTGAATGTGAAACTACATTTGTGAAAAATAGGTAAAGAACGCGAGTTACATTAGCACACACGTCATTTTCAGGGACTTTTCGCACAATATCGTTTAACGTTTATCGAACATGTCTAGTCGGCGCCGTCGGTGCGTAAATGATGGGACAATTTGACGTCGTAACTGGCTACATTATAACATTAGGCTACAAACCGAGTGCTAATCGTCACCTCGATGCTAACAAGCTTAAAGACTCAGGCGAATGTAACGCAAAATTTATTAACGGTAGGCCGATGTCTATCTGCTTACATTCAAAATGTAGATAAATATAGGCAATACGTACGAGAGAGAGAGAGAGAGAGAGAGAGAGAGAGAGAGAGGATCGTACTACTAACAATTTTCCATCACCGAGAAAGCCAAACAGGTGAACAAGAAATAGAAACACCTGTTACTTCCATGAAAGATAAAAAAATGTCGCCGAAAAATCACGGGATAATATTCTGCAAGATTAGCGCTCATCGATAATAGATTTTTACAATATAAAATATTAACAACAATAGCTGTACACACATAAAGTGACGCTTAATAATGGATGAAAGTTAATCAACTTTCATATTATAAAATTAAATTATGGTATTGTCATAAATTTTTGATTAAAACAAAAAAAAATTAAAACAGAATCTTATTAAAAATAATTTAGTTAAAATTAAAAAGTAATTTAGTTTGAAATATCGAAATATATACAGAAAGAATTGCTGCGATTTTGCTGAAATGTTAGTAAACAAATATATGAATATTAGAAAATATTTAGAAATTTAATTATAAGATACAGATCTGAAAATAGTTATTAAAATAATTATCTAGACTCACGCATAATGTAATATGATAATTAATGCTGAAAATATTTTAATATTCTAGCAATTAATTATCTAATTACTGATAATTTAACAAATTATTTTCAGATCTGTGTATATACAGTTAAATCTTTAAATTTTCTTTAGTAAAACTGTGCTCTTTGAGAAAAAATTCATTCTTCTATTCAAATGCTAACGATGTTGACAAATAGACATTCAGATCCGATAGATGTCAACCTTTCCTTTTTTCGAGTATGCTTTTGTCGTTTTAGATTAACCTTATAATATCGTCTCGACAGTTATAAGTGGTCAAGAGAATATTTAGCCTACTAGCTTTCTCACAAAATCCAAATTTGTCGTACCTGCCAAGAGTTTTTCTGTAAAATACAAAGAAACGAGACGGATGTGCTCGAAAGGAATTCATTCATCAATACTTGACATACGGTGGGAAAGCGAGAGCCAACAGTGAGTCATCGGTAAACTGCACAAGCTTGTGTATTTCTGAGGAAACATAACGAAGAAAATATCGCAAATATAAATAAACGTTACCATTTAAGACAATATTTCAACGAGGTTCAAGTAATTATCGATTTTCATTATCTTTTGTTGTTTCGTAATATATAATGATACTACTATTTTACATAAACACATTTAACTGAAACGTCGGCTTTCGAAGTTCTTCAAAGACACCTTTTTGGAATGATGTCTTAATAAATAGATAATAACTCTTGCCTAATCTGACAGAGACGTCTTCACTATTTACGCCATGATATTCGTCATGTTTAAAGAAATTGTAGAATTTGGGAACCTCGCGGCTCGCCACTATCTCGGGTCCGTCGCCTGCCTTGTTCGGTGACGTGACTTTTGTCCGCAAAAAAGCGTCGCGTCCTATAAAGCGGGCGGGAACGAGAGAGGAAGCGAACGCCGGCAGGCGCCAGCAAAATGCGCCTTTACGTAACCCCGACTGATCGTTTAACCCGCCATCGCCGCCATCAAGCCGAACGAATTCGATCGTGCGAACCGCGGCGATACGGCATTTCAGTAAGTACGTACGAGTTTCGATGAAAGAAAATGATATCGAGACGTGTGTCGATCGGAATGATATAAAATTGAACAGAGGAATGATTGCTTTCTAGATGTTTCAAATAGAATGTATAAATTTAACATTTAAAATTCAAAGGGTATATTCTCTTCGAACACTTTTTCGCTACAATTTACAAAATACTATATATTTGAAGAATTGGGTTTAATTGAGCTCGAGTCTTAAGCCGTGGAAAATTGAATTCGATTATTTGTCTCAATTGCGATCAATTTTTTTAGCTTAAAACTTAAGGTTAGGTAATGGCTTTTTATTGTAGAAAACCCATTAAATTCTCCGATAACAATTTGAATATATTTTGTAAATCACAGCAGAAAAGTGTTAAAAAATATACCCTTCGAATCTTGAATATTTTGAAGGTAAAATGACTTATATCGTAGAGAAAGCCTATGAGAATCGTTGAAGCTCGTTTTGAACGGACAAAAGTTATACAATATCGGAGGTTACGTCCAATACCGCGAAATTATGTTTTTTAGTTTAATTTTAACTCGCGCTTCTTGGACACACCGTACGTGTGCACTCGCACTCGGGCATCGGACGGCACGCCCTAGATTATAAATAGAAAACTTTATATAATAAATATTCTATAACAACAAGTTTAATCCGTATAAGATTAACGAGCGTTAGTCGGCGGCGACGGCGGCGACGGCGGCGGCGGGGACCACGCCTCGAGAACGTATTTATAATATTTCTCATAATCAGATAGGAAGATTCATGTACGTATGAACGTGAGACGATAAATAAATATCGGCTAATTACGTCATCGAGCCACGACGCTCCCTTCTATCGTGAACCGCGTTCAGTAGACTCAACAGTTGAGTGAGCATTCGCTGTTATTGATGTATTCTTATAGATTAATGTATTCTAAACGTCCGATTGAATAATCTAGAAGAATACACTGATATCAATTACAACTGTTGAGTCTACTGAACGCGGTTATGGATTATCACCTCTCATTGCATTGATTAGTGTCTAGAATGCAGCAGAGTCTGGACGTCTCAACCAAGGTCCCTTAAAATGGCATAGAAAATGTGCGCGGAAAGAACAATTTTGCTGAAAGATCTAAAATTGTGCCGCATATATATAGATTTGAAAGTAATTTTGTTGGACATTACTCCAGGGACACTTACGTCCATTTCTACCTAATGTAGATTAACTTCAATCTTGCAAGTTTAACTACCTTTTTGTCTTTTTATCGTTCTAAGAATTAGAAGAAAAAAAAAAATAAAGAGTCTCGATCTTGTGTTTTTCTCGCCTTACTTTTTATCTTGTTCTAGTTCTAAGAATTCAAAAAAAAAAAAAGAGTAAATTAACCTGAACTACATTGAGATAGAAATGAGTATAAATCATGATAAATCAAACGAGCGAGTGCTCGATCAAAAATCCCGCAGAGTCATCGCCTGCGACCACGTCGCTCGCCTCGGCAAAGCTAATAAAATTGGCGAGCGAGTACCTATATCCGACATTCTCTAATCGTTTGAAAGATTAAAGACGATATTCCGTACGAGAATAATTGCTGAGAAAAGTGCGGCTTTTTCTATATAAAAGCACGACGCTCGTGAACGTGACTATTCACGCGAGTGCCCACCGGCGCCGGTGGCCTAATCGTGACGACGATTCGTTACAGTCGAGCGCGCCACAAGCACGTTTTATCGATAATATCGAGCGTTTATGGCTGGAAAATCGTATCGAATAGGCGCGACCGATCCGCCGGCGACACCTCCGCAGAAAAAGATCGCGAAGGTGCGCGAGATAAAATCGCGACCGTGTTTCGTAATTAACGGCGCGCGACACCGAAGAAAATAAACGAATCCTTCGAATTCCATGCTGAGGTTTCCACGGCTAATAATAGCGCGCGATCACGCCGCACATGCACGCTCGAGGAAGCCGGCGGGAGGAAACATTTGGGGAAAGAGAGGCGGGAGAAAGCGAATGAGAGAGAGAGAGAGAGAAGCGGGCGGGTAACGACGAAATAGTCCGTCGCGTCAGCTCCGCGGAGACACCCCGCTTCGGAAAGACAGATCGGATTCTCGGCGCTGCGCTGACGCGCGGGAGAAGGACGGAAAAAAAGACTTGAGAAGAGTACGACGCGCACGTTGCAGAGACAGAAAGAGAGAGAGAGAGAGAGAGAGAGAGAGAAAAGGGAAGAAATTGAGCGAATGTAGGTAGGACCTGCCTGCGTATTACACGGATGAGAATTAAAGAGCGAGAGAACGGCACTTATCGATGGGACTATACAATCAAAATTATAACCAGAAGGAAATAAATCTAAAAATAAAACACACACACACATTATATATAAATACATATATATATATTATATATATATATATATTAGACGAGTAAGTCTCGCGGCTGGCGG